TGTATTTCCAGGTGACCTCCTGAGGTCCCTTACAGCCTCAATGCTTCTGTGTTTTCCTGGCATGGTGGGCAGGATTTTTTTTTTTCTTTTTGTAACTGAGAAATTGCATGTTTACAATTTACACTAAGAAACAATTAAAGTTGCAATATTAAGCACTCAAAAACTACGAAATAACAGACTTCTGGTACATAAACTTATTGTATCATAACCATCCTTAATGACAAATGTGGAAAACACTCCTGTCTTATTCAGTGCACAGTGGAGCTGGGGAAAGTCAGGTCTGTGGAAACAGCTGGAGAATCTTGTCTCATTTGTTGCAGAATGAGTAGTAAATCAGAAAGGGACCATCAAGAAAGGATGGTCTTGTTCAGACAGTGAATAGAGTCCTAAAAAACTCTAATCTGCCCCTGCTGTGGAATTCCTACTTAGGGCTTGGCAAGTCACTTGAATCCCACCTATTACAAGCTACAAATACTATATTCCTTTCTCCATGGCATTTGCAACTACAGCTGGAGCCATTCAGAGCTTGGCTTTGATCATACTAAAGTGCTATAAATGCTGAGCTGGGTTTTGGGTGTTTCTTGTTAATCACCTATCACTACTAAATGACTTTGACAGTAACATCTTTATATTCATTTCCTATTTGTAAGATAGGCAAACCAGTACTTTTTAACTTGACAAGAACGTTCTGAAAATACATTACCAATGCCTACAAAGCACTTTGATATTACAGTGATGAGTATCACGGGAAAATCCATGAGGAAATTAAAAATTTTATGTTCACAGTAGGGTTTAAATACTGTGCAGCAGGCAAGGCATGACATTGAATTATGGAGAGGAAGCTATGGAACAAAAGCCTGTTTAATGAGCGCTGACCATCATGTACACCGAATGAAGCAAGACACCAACAGTGACTGCCTTATTAGAATGTGATGATATGACCAGGTGATATGTAATCACGTAATTAGGATGTAATGACAATCTTGTCATGCATGCATAAAAAGGAGGGGGTGTCCCTCCCATTTTTTATGCTTTCTAACTTATTTTAACTTTTTTTTTTTTCTTCAAGGAACACATGTCTCATTACTAGTGGACTTGGGCCAATACATCTGAAAACCTCTCCCAGTATTCTGACTCAATTGCAAACTGGCTGATAAAACTTAGTGGGGTACTGATTCTCCGCCACTTGTTCACATGAAAAAACAGCAGGAAGCTCTGAAAAACCCTGAAAGGCAGAGTCTCCTGGAGGGACCATGATAAATCAGAATAATTGACAGGGACACAGCAATATACTAGGGGTATATCAGACCCCACCAGTCCCTCGTATACAGGGCTACAGACCCAGTGTGGGCTGACAAGGGGCGAGTGTGTCTTTTTCAGCTCTTCAACATAGTTGTACTCAGTACTTGCAAAGCTGCAGATCAAGATTTTAGCTAATTCCACTGAAATGATTAGCTGTGTAAAAGTAAAGATTTGGTTTCAGAACTAGACCTTTATAAACAGCCTGCTGTAATCTCACAATTACTGTCCCAGGCCATCTGGCTACAGCTTTATACTTCTCTGCATTTGGAAGGGCTAGAAGTACAGTTATTTTAAATAAGACTCTGGAACATATTTGCAGAATGTGTTGTGGGTTTAGGGGTCTATGTACTCTGCAGCAAGCTCTGTGGCCTTGAAAAACTCAGCGTCCCTACTTAGAGGTCTGTCAGCAAAAGACCATTATACTTCCAACTACAATTTGAACACAACAGGGCACAGAATAAATTCAAAATTTTCTCTCTATTAAACCTTAAGGCATTTAGAAATATTGTTCTAGAAAAGGCTTTAAACCTCCTGTCACAGTCTCACTATGAAAAAGGATAATGTAATTCCTAAGGAATCTACAAATTTGTGGTAACAAACAATAAACAACATAAACAAACATCCTCTCCCACTTGATCAATGTAGCTGATGTTGCACTGTAATTAAAAGCACACAATGTTCACTTCTAATAAACATTGAGAATGAAAATTACCATAAAGGCAATTTTGTCTGTGCTTTTGCCTTTGGCCCTGTGTAGCCTCCCTATACTGAGGAGCAATCAGGCTGTACAATATCCTGTGGCATTTCTTGATGATATTCAAAGGTGACTTTGTACTCGAGAACTAGTATCATCTAAGCATGTTTACACAGTGGAGATTTCAGGAAGACAAAAGCTGAAGTGGAGGAAAGGCTATCACAGAAATACTGGCCATATGCCTAGCACGAAACATGTTTCATGTCATTTTATTGCAGTTCCATTCTTTTTTCTCTCACAAAGCTACCAAGTAGGAAGCAAGCTATTGGAGTCAGATCTAACACTCACTGAAGCTATCAGAAAGACTCCCATGCAATTTGGAAGCTTTCAGATGATGGTGCCGAGTTACAGAGGGTCAATTATTTTAACCTGTACGGAGTAATTTCCAATTTTGTGGGCTGATGAGTATCTGTATCTTTAGCATCCCAGACTTGAGAATACATCACTCAGGGTTTTTCTTTGAAGAACAGTATATATGATACAGCTGCATGTTTTCCAAGTAATAACAAGAAAAGTAGACTGTGTGCAGTGGAATCAGGACTAGAACAAACATTTCTATCCTTTGAAAAAGAGGAATTCACACTCTTAATTTGATAGCTCTACTGGGTTTATCATTAAATCCATTAGTAGATTTATCAATGCATCTACCATTGTGGACCTTCAAAATATTGCAAGACAGAATCCTCTATGCTTTATTTGTTTTGCTTTACAGGGAAGGCTTGGATTAAATTGATCCCTCACTTTTCCGCATTCATAGGAAGGGAGAAAAGTTGTTACCATTTAGCTAACAGAATCACTGCCAACATTTTGTTATTCAATCCCTATTATCCATCCCCAAGTACACCTTCTACAGCAAAAACCACATTACTAAATTTACAAATCACCTTTGGCCAAAACAAAGTTGATTTCTTGGCTTCTGGAAAACAACAACAATGAAGAAAATAAGACATTTTGGGGCATTTGAAATTTAATCTTCATCTACCTACATTTGCAGTCCTTCTGGTTTTTGGCAAGTTCAAAGCCAGGCCTACATTCACAGGCAACCCCACCTTTGGGCGTCTCCCGGCAAATGTGTGCACACCCATGATCTTTGTTCATACAGTTCATACCCTCTGTAAAAAAAAAGAAAGAAAAAATGGAAAATATTAGTACTGAAATAAAATAATTATATGCATCCAGTCCTCCCATAATTTTAATTGTAATTTTTACTTTGCATGTGGACTGTGTTCCACAAGGCAAAAGAATGCAGCTCAAAAGAGGTATACAATCAACAAAAGTGTAATAAAGGACAAACCTCCTCTAGGGCAAATATAACAAGTACTACTGTGGAATACAGGATGTCTCTGATCCATGTAGAAACTCAAGACTTCCTTATTCCACATCCATATTCTAATCTTTCATTAAAATATCATGGATTTAAAGGGTACTCCAGGAAGTTGTCCCACAGGTGACGATCAGAGTTGAATAACTGATCTCACTCTTATTTTTCCCTTGTAGAAATTTAATAGTTGTTACTGCCTAGCACAGTTTTATTTGCCTGTTAATGTGCTTTGTATTTTCTAACACACAAAATCTACCAAAGATTATATCTGAGCATTTTTGCTTGGATCTGTTTCTTTGATATTTGTTATACATCTCAATTATCTGTGTCATCCACCATAACCACAGCCCATCTCTAACAAACCTACTACCACTTCTCTCTTTGCCTATATTAAAAAAAAATACACCAGCCGTTCAACAAACGTCAAAGTGCCATGGGTGGATTCCCGTTAATGTTTACGCCAAGAAACAGTATCAACCAGCTTTCTCTTAATCATCATAGGGCCAATTTTAGCTCTCTAAACCATGTAGGTGATTTAGATACTGAATGCGCCTTGTGCTCTTAGAGGCTTTCATTATCGTGTTAATTCAAATCCCACATATTCACAGAAATCTTGAACTCAGTCCTTATGGGTCAGCATCTAGCATTCCTTGTGTGAACGAAGGCTAGCTAGATTTGCATTACAAAGCCTTTCCAGACTTCCCCTTGGATATCTGACCTGGAAAGGAGAGACAAATTCTCTCAGAGTACACTGACAGAGAATTCACAGTGTAACTCAGCTTACTACCATGAAAACAGCATGTATTCCCCAAAACACTGGTGCATGCAACATCAGTGTGTACTCAGAAGCTCATTTGTCACTTTGTAACATGGCTGCTCTTACAGATTCTAGGCTAATTTCTCAAAACAACTCCAGTGTAAAACGTTCAGCTAAAACCTACAGTAACAACATACTATAAATAAATGATTTTTCAGGGCTGTTGCAAAGTTTTTGCTTCCAAAGGTGAAAATGATCACTGCCCTCCCTTTTTGTTCTTACAGAAACTACATGAACGTACCTGCCACCTCTGGCATCTACACACACTGCCTTTAGGCTGAGGCTGGTCTCACACTGACAAATACTTGAAACCAAGTGTCAAGGCTTTATGATGAATTTGAGCAAAAGTTTCTCTGCATACAAAATAGTTTTTAATTGAACACAAATCAGCATGTAAGACAGCTACTAAGAAACTTTGTGTACAAAATTCTGAGAAGGAAATGCTACAGAAAGTCATTCAAAGACTCCCTCAGGTTGACAGAAGCTGACAGCTTCCGAAGTTATTTGCACTGCTTAACTTTACCTCAGAAAGGTTTATATTGGCAGAGCAATGAAAAACACACATCACCAGTCTGAGTGGGTATTTTCGTTCATCTCTCCTACAAAAAATACCAGGATCTTAAATCTCACAGCCTATGAAAACCAACATTGCAGACAACAGATATATTTCTCTCTTCTAAATTCCCCTCTGTGTTAGCCTTGATGAGTCTAAAATCTTGCCAAAGCACACAAAAAATTATTCTCTCTAAACTGCAGCCTGGACAACAGATGCTACTGGAAGATATAATACATACTATACTACACTATACCATACCATCCTATACATCGAAGTGAGGTATAAATGTTTTGTTTGGCTGAACAGAAGTAAGAAACCTGGGAAAGGCCTTATTGAAGGTTTTGAGGCATTTTATAATCTCTTTCTCTCCACTTCTCCCAACAAAGGATTTCAGACACAATGTGTTTGACAAACTGCATTCCT